TTAATCTTGTGGCACAGTGCATGCATGAAGAAAATACCGGAGTAAAAGTGACATTAACTAAAACTGGCGGTTAAGGAATACGGTGTGATGTGATGTTTATAATGTAATGTATACTTTTATTCTACAGTATTAATATTGAAACCCAAAATGCAGTACATACAATTAATCGTTCTATAAAATCAATTCACATTTTTAACATTTTCATCAGTATTACGATCTTCAACTTTTATAGAAATATCTTCATTTAAGTCTTCGCGGGTTAACTCCGAGGTATTTCTTGTTTTTTGCGAAAGTATAGATCTAACTTCATCCAGATCCTTGTTTCTCGCGTCAATAGCATTGAGGTTTTTCTCATTCTCGAACGGATGATTTTCTGAGGAGTATATCCAATCTTGAACCTTGGGTGGTGGACGGGATGTAATATTGCTGACTTCCAATTTAATTATACTGAAACAGAATAAAGGAAATTCCGGTTATTGATTGTGAAGCTATGAAGTAAAAAAATACCTTGATAGTAAAAAACGTACCCGCAAAAATCGTCAACCTCCAAATCGTTTTCATCATAACCGAAAGGATTTTCTATTTCCACGCCGATCCGTTCAATACCAATCAACACGAATGAGGCTAGAAATACGACCGGGATGGTAGGCCAACCAGTGGTTGACACCAATTGAAAAGGTAGACTAAGGCAGTAGATATATAAGACTTGATTCAAATGAATTGAATAAGCCAAAGGAATTGGTGTTCTCAGAATTCTCTCGAAGTTTGATAGACAATCCACTAACATATTAAGATTTTGAATCAAGGTGTTTTTGGTTGGAACATTGACATCAACGGAATGAATGTAAGCAGAAATATGTAAGGTTATTTCCAACGGCAGGTTGTGATTAACCACAAGGTTATGGTGATGATTTAGATGATAATGTTTGTGATGATGGGGTCTATGGTTTTCAGGAGTTTCGTCAGTTTTTTGTCCTTGTTCTGATAGTGGTTCAAAACCCGGTAAGGTTGATCTTATGTTTGAGATAAGTCCTTTAAGATCCTCATGATCAGTTCCTTCTTCTTCGCGAAGATAATGCTTTACGGCCACTGCAAATCCGACAAGTAGATTTATGACCGTTTTCTTTTCAATAATCCTATCAACCGAATCATCCTCTTTTACGCTCACCCAAATAGTTCTGGTCAAATTTCTAATGGCAATGGTCATCGTTGACCACAGTCGACGACCTTCCCAGAATCTATTATTGGTTAATTT